GTGGTCGCGGCCCCGCCGGGGGGGCCACCCAAGGTGGGCATGTGTGCCGTGGAGGCGGTCTTTTTGCAGCCCATTCTAGGCAGGGGCGCCCAGCCCTGCCGGCCTTCGCCTCCTCGCCCTGGAGGGCTTCCGAGGAGGAGGAGGCGGCGGCGGCGGTGGCGGCGGAGGAGGAGGAGGAGGCGGAGGCGGAGGCGGAGGCGGAGGCGGAGGCGGCGGAGGAGGCGGAGGCGGCGGAGGAGGAGGAGGAGGAGGAGAAGGAGGAGGAGGAGGAGGAGGAGGAGGAGGAGGAGGAGGTGGTGGTGAGGCGGAGGGGAGGCGGAGGCGGAGACGGAGGCGGAGGCGGAGGAGGAGGAGGAGGAGGAGGAGGAGGAGAGGAGGAGGAGGAGGAGGAGGAGGAGGATGGGGTGAGGCGAAGGCGGAGGCGGCGGCGGAGGCGGAGTCGGAGGCGGAGGAGAAGGAGGAGGGGGAGGAGGAGGAGGAGGGGAGGAGGAGGAGAAGGAGGAGGAGGAGGAGGAGATGACAGAGGAGGGGGAGGAGGAGGAGAAGGAGGAGGGAGGAGGATGAGGAGGAGCAGGAGGAGTAGGCGGAGGCGGAGGCGGAGCGGCGGAGCTGGAGCGGTGGAGGAGGAGGGGGAGGAGGAGGAAGAGAGTAGGAGGGAGGAGTAGGAGGAGGAGGAGGAGGAGGAGGGAGGAGGAGCGAGGACGAGGAGGGAGGAGGCGGTGGTGGAGGAGGCGGAGGACGTTAATGCGACCGTCCTTATTTTTCTTCTTCTTTTCGCCGCCGCCTCCTCCTCTTCCGCCGCCTCCTTCTTCTCTCTCGCCTCCTTATCTTCCCGCTCCTTCTACTCGTCCTCCTCTTCCTTTTGCTTCTCCTCCGCATGCCTCAGCTCGAACTTTCCTCCTCGTCCCTCTCGCTACCTTCCTCCTCCTCCTCCTCCTCCTCCTTCTCCTCCTCCTCCTCCTCCTCCTCCTCTGGAGCCGTCCACTGCCAGGGTGGGCATCAGGGTGATAAACATCCTGGATTGGCCGCCCAGCGTAGTAGGATCAGGAGGGGCCTCCATCCGAAATCGACTTTATCCCCGCCCTCTAAGCGTGGACCCCTGTGTACCCCGTCGAGGAAGCGAGTTCTGGTTCTGGCCCGATTCTGGGCAAGGATGGGTTGGAGATCCCAGAGCCGCTTGGCATGTATAGGGTTGCTGCGTTGCACGGCTTCTCGGACCCTCGGGAGGGAATCGTGCCGCCGAGAGCGAAGCAGAGAGGCTCGCGAGACACAGTCCCAGAGGGAGGACCCTCTTTCCAGCTTGATTTAAGCATCAGGCTTCCGCTGGCCGCGGGGGAGCTTGCTTCATTTTCCAATATCGCCCAATATCCCCCGCCTCCTCCTGCTCCCTCTCCTCCTCCTCCTCCTCCTCCTCCTCCTCCTCCTCCTCCTCCTCCTCCTCCTCCTCCTCCTCCTCCTCCTCCTCCCTCCCACGGCGGGCCTCTGGGTTCCCGGCGCGGCGGCCCGCGCAGGGCCCTGGTTCGAGGAGTGGCGCCAGGACCGCGCAGGGGGAGCAGGGAGAAGGGGTGGGAAGGGCAACAGGAGGAGGGTGGTGGAGGGGGACGGGGAGGAGGAGGAGGAGGAGGAGGAGGAGGAGGAGGAGGAGGAGGAGGAGGATGAGGATGAGGAGCGATGAGTTGTGATGATGACGCTGCCGCTTATGATGATGCTGATGATGATGCTGTTGCTGCTGCTGCTGCTGATGATGCTGCTGCTGATGCTGCTGCTGCTGCTGATGATGATTATGATTATGTTGAATAGGGTGATACTGCTGATGATGAAGATGATGATGATGCTGATGCTGATTATGAGGCGGAGGAGGGACCGATGATGGTGGTGATGATGACGATGATGCTGATGCTGATGCTGCTGCTGATGAGTCTGATGCTGATGCAGATGCAGATGCTGCTGCTGATGACGATGCTGCTGATGATAATGATGATGCTGATGGTGCTGCTGATGATTATACCCCTGATGATGCTGATGATGATGATGGTGGTGGTGATGATGATAATGGTGATGATGCTGATGATGATGATGGTGATAATGCTGCTGCTGATGATGCTGAGGATGAGGATGAGGGCGATGACGATGATGATGATCATGCTGCTGCTGATGATGCTGATGATGATCATGGTAGTGATGATGATGCTGATGATGATGACGATCGTGGGTTTGATGGTGAGGATGGTGATGACGATAAGGATGAGGAGGAAGATGAGAAGGGTGTTGCTGCTGCTGCTGATACTGATGATGATGATGATGATGATGATGATGATGATGACGGCGACGATGGTGGTGCTGCAAATGATGATGGTGATGACCATGATGATGATGATGTTGTTGTTGATGATGATGTTCATGATGATGATGATGATGATGACGATGATGATGATTATGATGATGATGATGATGATGATGATGGTGGTGGTGGTGGTGATGGTCATACGCTTATATTTATGTTGCAGATGTGATTCTGTATCATGTTATTGTGATTGTGGTGGTGGTGGTGGTGATTTTCATAATGCTGTTGATGATATTGTTGCTGCTGCTGGTGATGATGAGGATGAGGATGATGATGATGATGATGATGATGATGATGATGATGATGATGATGATGATGATGATGATGAAAATGCTGCTGCTGATGATAGGCATGATGACGATGCATGACGAGCTTGCTGATGATCAGGGGTGGTCTTGGGCAGTTCTGGGCCACCGAGGGCCCTCACCGGGCCCCAGGGCCGTCAAGAAGCGGCACAGGATCGAACAAGCGGGTCTCCGGGAATGGGTCCAGACCTCTGGGGAGCCACGCCGCGACAAAAGCTCGGCGTCGGATGTCTGGGTGCGGACTGGCCCGCCCCGAGGAGACAGGGAGCGATGACAAGTTCTACCTATGGCTGGCGGACTTCGACACGGACGGCAAGGGGAGGGAGCGGCGCTCCCTCGGCGGATCTCGCCGGCCGCCCGTGCTTGGCCCCTGCGTTTCCTGGGGCCGTATGGGGTTTGCCTTCGTCCCTTCGTTAGCTGTGCTCGGCTGAGATTAACACCTGAGTGTCTTTTGTTTTGGTCCCCCTCACCCCCCTTCTCATCCGGCGGTGAATAGGACTGGTCCTAAAGCCGTCAGAGCGGTCCAGAGGCAGCAGTAGTAGTAGTAGTAGTAGTAGTAGTAGTAGTAGTAGTAGTAGTAGTAGTAATAGTAGTAGTAGTAGTAGTAGTAGTAGTAGTAGTAGTAGTAGTAGTAGTAGTAGTAGTAATAGTAGTAATAGTAGTAGTGGTAGTAACAGTAGTAGTA